GCAGATTGGAAGAGATCCCCAATTTTGCCCATTTCAAAGAAAGGTGACTCAATGGAATGTGGAAATTATTGAACAATAATCAGTACTATCACAAACAAGTAATACTGTGCTGAAAATAACTCAAAAATTGTTATTTTTTACATCAACAGACAACTGCCAGAAATTTAAGCCAGATTCAGAAGAGGACATGGAATGAGGGATATCATTGCTGATGTCAGATGGATCCTGGCTGAAAGCAGGGAATACCGGAATGATGTTTGTTGTTGTTATGTGCCCCTGAGTCACTTCCAACTCATAGTGACCCCATGCACAGCAGAACGAAACCTTATGAATAGCAGAGAATGATGTTTACAGGTATTTTATTGACTGTGGAAACGGTATTTGATTACATGGGTCATAAAAAATCATGGATAATATTATGAAGAATAAGAATTCTAGAACACTTAATTGTGCTCGTGAGGAACCTATACATAGTCCGAGAGGCAGTTATTCAAACAGAACAAGGGTACAATATGTGGTTTAAAATAAGGAAAGGTTGTGTCAGCATAGCATCCTTTTACCATACTCATTCCATCAGTGTGCTGAGCAAATAATCCAAGAAGCTGGACTATATGAAGAAGAATGTGGCATCGGGATTGGAGGAAGGCTCTTTAGCAACCTGCAATATGCAGATGACCTAACTTTACCTGCTGAAAGTGAAGAAGATTTAAAGTATTTACTGTTGAAGACTAAAAATTACAACCTTCAGTATGGATTACACCTCAACATAAAGAAAACAAAAACCCTCACAAGTAACCAATAAGCAATATCATGATAAATGCAGAAACATACTGAATCTGCCAAGGATTTCATTTTATTTGGATGCACAAGCAGTTCCCACTGAAGCAGCAGTCAAGAAATCACATGACATATTGCATTGGGAAAATCTGCTGCAAAAGGTCTTTTAAAGTGTTAAAAAGAAAAGATGATACTTTGAAGACTAAGGTGCATCTGACACAAGCCGTGGTATTTTCAGTCACCTCATAGGCAACTGAAAACTGGACAATGAATAAGGAAGACAAGAAAAACTGATGCCTTTCAGTTATGGTGTTGCCATAGAATATTACATGTACCATAGACTGCCAAAAGAAAAAACAAATCTGTCTTAGAAGACAGTATAGCCAGGATGCTCCACAGAAGTGAGGATGACAAGACTTTGTCTCATGTACGTAGTACATGCTATCAGGAGGGACTAGTCACTGGTGAAGGACATCATGCCTAGTAAATAAGAGGCTTGGTGAAAAGAGGAAGACCCTCAACAAGATGGACTGACACAGTGGCTGCAGCCAGGGACACAAATGGGGCAGGACTGAGCAGTGTTTCATTCTATTGTACATAAAGATGTTGGCAGTTGGAACCAATTAGATGGCATATAACAACAACAAAAAAATCTATAATATGCAATAGTTATTAAAGATCAAGCTTACATTTCCATAGCCACTCATTTTCTAATATATTTTTAAAGAATTTTAGGAATCTGAGAACATTCCTAGGATAATATTACTGTAGCACAGAATAAAGACAGCATGCCTACTGAGTTTCATAACCAATAAGTTGTTAACATTTTCAATTATAACAAGAAAATACTGCATTTAGGTGACTTTTGAAAATGCAGTTTCATTTCTAAATGAAAGTATATTTATAGAAGAACAATCAATAAGTTGTGTGAATAGAAAAAGACAAGTCATTACACTCTAAGTAAAACAAGTAAGCAAAGCAGTATTGTTAGTAGGATGCCTAAGTACAGAATATAATACTCTTAATAATTATGTAAAGTATACTAGGAAAATATTTCATGAAATATCTGTGTTATACAAAAATCAATTTTCTTGATTTTTGAAAATCATCTAAATTTAAATATTTGGTAAAGCTTTTTTTTTCTTTTCTCTTGTGATTTAGGTGAATGTTTATACAGCAAATTCATTTTCCATTCAACAGTTCATACACATTTTGTCTCATAACGTTGATTGCCATCCCCAGAGATGTAACAGTTCTCTTCCCAATTTCTCCCTTCTCCCTTCTTTCCTATGCATTCCTGCCTTCTGAGCTATCTCCTCTGCAAATGTTGTCCTTCTTATCTCCCATGGTTGAGTGTTCTTAGGAGTGTACCTACCTATTGTTTGCCTTGTAGGCCTGTCTATTGGTTGGCTGGAACCTACAGGACCAAGTTCAATTCTCGGCACTAAGGGTGATTGGAGGTCACAGTCTCAGGGGTTTCACCAATCTTTATGAGACCAAAAAGCTTGGTCTTTTTTTTACAATTTTCAGTTTTGTTCCACATTTTTCTCCCACTCTATCCAGGACCTCATATACTGATCCCTTTCCAAGTGGATGACAGTGGTAGCTAGGCACCATCTAGCTCTTCTGGTCTCAGGGTATGTAGGCTGAGGTTCACATGATCCGCTAGTTCCTTGGACTAATTGTTTCCATAAGTCTTTGGTTATCTTCATTCTTCTTTGCTCCGGAAGAGGAAAGACCAATTGTTGCATCTCACATGGCCACTCGTAAGCTGTTAAGACCCCAGTCGCTACTCACCAAAGTAGGATGTAAAACAACATTTTTGTGCATTATGTTATGCCAAGTGAACTTGATGTCTCCCATAAACATGGTCCCGAGCCCACAGGCCCAGTGACTTACAACCTCAAGGTGTTTGGCTGTGGCTAGGAATTTATCATAACTTTGCTCCCTGTTAGCTCTACGATATATATGGACATTCTTTTTTTTTTTTTTTTTTAATTTTGATTTGGGTGAAGATTTACAGAGTAAATTCACTTTTCATACAGCAGTTCACATAATATACTTTGTCTCATGTCATTGACCAAAATTTACAATGCAACAGCTCCCCTCCCACTTCCTCCCCATAGTTACCTCTTC